TTGGACATTGTCGTCTTCGTCAATGGTATGAATGAAATCGTCGTCAAAACCACTCATATCTGTCTATCTAACTTGGTTCAATACGCTGATTGCCTAAAAAAAAAAAAAAAGTCAAAATGCCCCGACCATGGCAATTTCCAGTCTGTGACCGTTCCTGAGGGAGAGGCAGATCTTGGACCTCATGCACAAGAGACATGGAATTTCCACCATGGAATCGCTGGGTCTAGAAGAGTCCTTATGCATAAAACTAAAAGAGGCTGACGTTAACAATGCCGAGGATTTGAAGAAAAGAGATCTTCGCGCTCTTTGCTGTGGTAAGTTCACCTTGTGATGTTTAAGCTCAGGCATCACGTAGGCTCATTCCTCTCTAGAACTTGTGCTCAACGCAGACGAGGTTGACAAGCTCTATTCAGCGGTATACAAAGGTTTGTTCCTGGATGGTGTGATTTTCCTGATACGCTCATGCTCTTAACGGCACAAATAGATAGTATGCCGCGGATATACAATGGGCTAGAACTGTTACGACGCGGACCCACTATAACGTCTATACCTACATTTTGCGAGGCTTTCAATGTATTGCTATCTAGCAGTGGCATTCCTACTGGGAAGATAATCGAATTCTGTGGGTCACCCGGTAGTGGCAAAACACAATTAGGGTAAGCTCGACTCCACTAGAACCCCAATTTGGTGGTAGACTCACAAATGCGAATCCTTTTTAGAATGCAGCTGGCAATTAATGTACAGCTTTCAAGTAAACTTTCTTTAGTGGAAGTAGAGGCATTGTATGTTGGTAAGTGGGTCTAGATCAGTACGGCAGGGGGGGGGGACTCAGCACAAAGGGCTCAAGCAACTTACCCCAATTTGAACGGCTTTTAGATACAGAAGGTGGATTCAACATACATAGAGCACAGGACATTGCACAGAGCATGGTGGACAGAATGAAAGAACGAAGTGCATCAGAAAACGTACAATGTCCGACTGCAAAAGATCTGCTTTCCAAGATACACTACTTTCGTATCTACTCTCACTTTGAGCTACTGGCCTTCATCACAGACTTGCCCGACATCATAGAAGCATACCCCAAGGTAACTTTCAGCATGGCTCATCTGTGATGAAGTGAACTTATGCGATAGGAACGAATATCGCAAAGTAAGAAAGCAACAGTCATAGATAACAGACACCTTCCTTCCAGATTAGAATCATTATCATCGATACCATTACATTTCATTTGCGAACCAATATTCGAGATCTCACCACCAAAGGAAAAATCATCAAGACCATACTAGAGCTGTTACGCAAAACGGCTTCCTCAAGCAATGTAGCTGTAAGTGCATATATCGAACTGTCATCTTAATCGTAAGAGCTTGTAATGACGCATATAGCATTCCAGGTTGTCATCATGAATCAGATGACCACTTTCAAAGATGGCCGTACCATTATACCTGCTTTAGGTATGCAAACTATATTGAATTACCGTTGAAGATTAGGAAATCTGCCTTCTCTAACATCTTGTAAATATAACAGGTGAGCGTTGGGGCCAGAGGATAGACTGTCGCATACAACTCTCTGAAGATTACGACGGAAGGTAAGCTGGTCTATAGCAAAACATGGAAGACATTATCATGTAATAACGCTGTACGTAGATATGCTATTCGTATCAAGCCTAAAGCAAAAGCGACCCTTCGACAGCCATTTAGCATTACGGTAACTATACGCATCATACTACTTAAAACTCATCGACCTGATATCTAACACAACATTAGTCGGAAGGAATACGAAATGCGGATGGAGACTTGGACGAGACGGTCGAGGAGGATACCACCAGCACATCCTTGATCCAGCTCTCTTCTGGCGTAGCAGAGGTGGACATTGCAGAGAAATCAGGCATTTTGGATATGAGTGTACTGAATGACGAAGAGAACCAATCGATTTTATTCATCGATGACATCCTTCAAGAAGCGACTCAAAACTACGCTGGCCACAAGCGACCATTTGAAGCCATTGATGACGACGATCAAGAGTATTCCGATGCAGATGTCCTTTGTTTTGCTTCACAAGACTACTTTTAGAGCAGATGTAATGATCTGATTTGTAAATACATTCTATAATTCTACATTTTTGTTAGCTTGCCGGTAGGCTTCATCCCTCATATTCAACACGCAGCGATTACAGCACTAAAAGGACACGGTTTATTTTGCCCTACATATATGACAGGTGTAGTGTGGGGAAGGGTAGACAAGCACTATAAACACTATCAAACGCTAAAAGTATCGTAATCCATAACAAGTACTTACAGGTTTTGATATCGCGGGTTACCAGAACCGCGCAAAATGAGTGCTTCTGGGACAAAAAATAAAGGGTTAGAAAAAAACATATGGGGTTACCAGAAACACTCACAGTTTTTTAGAGTGGGATATACTGCCACCACTAATCCCTCCTACGGGAATATACATTTAAACAACAGGCCAGATGGGCTTGTTGACAATACCAGCCCTCTTGTAAAGAGCATCAGCATGCTCCTTAGCCTGAACACGGATCTCCTCCTCGTTCATGGTAAGCAATTCACCCTTTTGAACAACGACCTTGCCATCGACAACAACAGTGTCAACATCACCACCCGTGGCAGCATAGACCAAGGTGGAGACAGGGTTGTAGGAAGGAGTGGTGTGGAGCTTGTTGAGATCAACAGCAACGAAATCAGCCTTCTTGCCAACTTCCAATGAACCGATCTCCTTCTCCAGACCGAGAGCCTTGGCACCGTTCAAGGTAGCCATTTCCAAAACCTTCTCGGCGGGCATGACGGTGGGGTCCAAGGTGACGGCCTTGTGAAGAATAGCAGCCAACTTCATCTCACGGATCATATCATAATCGTTGTTGCAAGGAGAACCGTCACATCCCATAGAGACGTTGACATTGTTCTCAAGCATCATGGGGATCTTGGCGATACCAGAAGCAAGCTTGCAGTTGGAGGTGGGGTTGTGGGAGACATGGGTGCCAGATGAGGCAAGCATCTTGATGTCCTTTTCTTCCAACCAGACCATGTGAACCAGCACGGTCTTGTCAGAGAGCAAGCCAACGTGATCACAGAACTCCATGGGGGACATGTCAAACTCTAAAAGGTGTGGGAGCCTTGGTTAGAAAAACCGTGAGGGTTACACATATCGTAAATGAATTTTTGGCTCTCACCTTCACGGAAGTACTTCTTGTCAGCCTCCACTTCGGCACAGTGCATGGTGATACGAATATCCTTCTCCTGGGAAATTTGAGTCATTTCCTTGAAGAGCTTCACACTGACGCCACCAGGAGTGCGGGAACCGAACCAGACATCTGATGTGGATAAACGACGATAAGGACTCGATAACGAGTAAATAAAGAAAGTGTGGGATCACTTACGAATTCTGTCGTTGGCCTTTCCGTGCCACTTTTCGTGCATGGCAAGAGTTCCGAGCAAAGATTGCTCACGAGTTTCAATCAAACCAGGGTGCATAGAGAAGGCAGATTCAGTATAGGTGCCAATGTCCATAACAATTTTGCCCTAGAAACCAATGTGGCGGATAAGAAAACAATGATCTGGCCAATATCTAAAACCGATGCGTTTCACTTACAAGACAGGCGCGGATACCAGACTCCTCAACAGCGTTAGCAACGCGGCTGAAGTTGTAGCGGTCAGCGCACATAGCCTCGAGGAAAGTAGTGGTACCACTCTTGAGCATTTCTGCGATGCAGAGTTTAGCAGCGACGTAACCATCGTCTTCCTCGAAGCAGCCTTGGAGAACCCAAACACGCTCGCAGAGCCATTGGATCAATTCCTTGTCATCGGCGCAGCCTCTGAGCAAGGATTGAGCAAGATGGACATGGGTATCGATCAGACCAGGGATAACCAACTTGCCACCAAAGTCATAGCTTTCTTCCTCGGGATACTTCTCCTTGAGAGCCTTGGTCTTGCCAATATCAGCGATTCGGTTATCCTTGACCAGGATAGCACCATCGGCAATGATATGGCGGTCAGCGTTCATGGTAACGATATCAGCGTTATAGTAAAGCATGTTTGTTTTAATTGAAAATAAAAGAAACGGTAGAAACGGAAGTGTACAACTTTAGAGAAGGTTTTTATAGCTTTTGTAGATAAGAGATTCACCAATGAGGATTTAGATGTAGTCATCGTCCATATCGGAATCATTATCGTGGTTTGAATTGTCATCCGCCACCACTGCTTCAGTTTCTTCTTCAGACTCAGGTTCAGCATCGTCAGGAAGCTCAACTGGTTTTTTCTACAAAGACAAGTTGAATGAGCATGAAGTCATATGGTTTCAACTTTTTTTCTTTTTTCAATACATACCTCGGGAACTTCTGGAACAATAATTCCAGTGCGGTTGGAGAAGGCACGACGAACACCGGCATTGGAGGAGAGATCCAGGACTTGCAAATTACCCTTGGAACCGGCAACAGCCAGTTGGAAGGGGGAGTCTGTACAGAATTGTGCGCTAAAGATCTTACCCTACAAGTATGGTTAATTGTTGTCCACACTCTCCGCCTACAATCTCATTTACTTACAACACCAAGATTTCGGCTGGTCACCATTCGTGGTTTGTTGTCTGCTGTATCCCAAATCTTGATCGACTTGTCTATGCTACCTGTAACAATGCAGCCAGGAACCAAAGGATTGACATCGAAGGAACTGACAGCATCGTCGTGAGCGTGCAGTGTGAACAGGGAAGGAGCATCTGCACCTTGGTTACTTCGGACATCATAGTATCGGATCAAACCGTCCTCAGTTGCAACATAGAAATTGGTAGGGTTATGGGGATCCCATCGAAGACTTTCAACATCAGCACCCACTTTCCAGGTGTTAACGCTATCAGGGGATCTTGAATCGAATACGCAGACAGTCTTATCATATGAACCAGTCAACAATACCGTTGATTCGACGGGATGCCATTGCACGGACTGAACCTTGTCTTTGTGATGAGTGAAAGATCTAGCACATTCGCATGTGGTCAAGTCCCAAAGCTTGACAGTGGTGTCAGCAGAAGCCGAAGCAATGATGTTTCTATATGATTTACTCGTTAGCAACAGTATCAATGGCATGAAGCCAATCCTGGCTGTACTCACCTATGGTTCTTGTTCCACGACAATCCCATAACAGCATCTACGTGGTACTTGTCGTTCACCTTCTTAAGTCGCTTCTTGCTCTTGTCTTTATGTCCGAGAATAGCATCAGGATACATGACATCCAAAGAGTCCAAATCCCAGATCTCGATATCTGGATCAAAGGTACCAACGGCAACATAGTTGCCAGTACCTGCTTGGCCGGCCCTTCTACCCAACTTGAAGTCCAACCAGTCGAGACACAATGGGAAGGCTGGAAGCAAAAGGTCGTGGTGAACATACAAATTGTCTTCAGACTCCTCGTACAAGTAAATTTCTAAATGTGACAGATCGTCTTCGGTCTTTGCCGCCACAATCAAGTTGTCGGTGGGAAGGATTTCCAACTCTTCACGTTCGTCTTCATCATCAGCAACATCCTTCAAGGTAATGTATGGATCCTCTGCATTGCTGGCGTAATAAGTAAGACCTTGCTTGTTGGAGAAAATGTTGACATCTGCAAAACCACGGCAATTATGGTACGCAATTAGACACGGTATCCAACACTGACATATTCTTTTACCGAAAAACTTACTTTTGTCCTGATCGGCAGCAATTTCTTCGTCGTATGCCTCCAAGTTAAACTCTGCAAGGTCAGGTTCATTGGTCGAGGAGGGTTTAGCACTGAAAATCCGACGTTAGTATAATGAATTGTTCATTGATTTACTATACAAATCTAACAACTTACTCGGTAGTAGGTTCCGTAGTCTCAGCGTCCATAGCTTCGGTGTCCATAGCCTTTGCTTCATTTAGGTCTTGGTTGGCTTCCTCCAAATGCTGCTCGGCCAGCTTGTGGATTCTCTCATATTCAGCCTCGTCCAAGTTGTACTTTTCCGGGTTTTGTGCTGCGACACCTTTACGGATCCATTGAATGGCAGAGATCATTGTTGAGATCGGTTAAAGCTGCTGTTCTGCTAGGTGACAGTAGCCTCGATAAAAAAAAAAATTGAAAGCGGTAAATTCCAAGTCCGAAGCAGTCCCTTTCCAAAATGCCCGACTTCTTCAACATACCTTCAGCAGATGAAACGTATGAGAGCAAGTATATTGACCAACTTCAAGGTCTGATCTGACGTTTCCTATGGAACCATAAGCTAGTTGCTCATGATCCAGGCTTAATACACCAAATCCGAAGTTGTTGGTGTGGAAGCATAACACACTATCCTCAGTTTCACATTACATTAATGCAAAAAATACCTGTTGCTTAATACCTGCCGTATCATGATTTTGCAATAAAAACGGCTTTGAATTCTTTTAATATTCGTCGCTCCGTCTTTCGCATAGAAAGATCTCATGTGTTGAGGTTGGTCCCTTGATTGACAGAATTTCAACGTGTTTTTCATATCCGTGATACTCTTGGATTCACCGCTTGGAAATACGGCTTCACTCTGTGATGTGAATCGTGCCAAAGGTATCGTGTCAAGAAGGTCCTATTCAGACCATCCATGTGGCTCAGACACTAGAGGTAAGGTTAAAGCTTGCAATCTAAAAAATTGGGTGGGTGATTGACGTCAATAGAATATCCCTTTTGGGTTTGGGGTTGAACTGCAACGCACACTACAATCTTTTCGACTTCATCTGTTCAATTGAATGTCATCTCCCGGATCACCTGGACTCGACAATCGCGCCGAGATCCAAGACCCTCCACCTCGTAAATCCGCTCACTTTGCTGTAGAATCCGACGAGAGCGATGTCGAGCCCGACGATATCAGCCCCGCCAATCCCATGCTGAATCACACTGGGCCATATCGTCCATCGCCCACGCTAACTCCACATGTCGCAGCCATCCGTGGATGGAACCAGACATGCAAGATTGTTATGCTGACTATCTGCCTTGCCGGGTAAGTATACCTATAGTTTACTGGATCTGTGAATTCTGCGCACTGACCCATATTACGCTATATCGTAGACTTCAGTTCACATGTAAGTAATGAATACGGTATATGACCAGCTTTTCTTGAAAAAATACTAAGTTTATGTCTTTCTAGGGTCGGTTGAAATGGCTTATGGTAGGCATCTTTGTTCAGTGGAGTGGAGTTAAAACACCACCTTCGACGTCGTTATTCACATACGCTTTTACAGGAACTCCATATCTACTGTCGTTAGGCTTGTCCAAATCCATGATGTCACTTGTTTGGATAGCAGGACCGTTGTCAGGTAGTTTTTATACGCACTATTGATACTACTGGAATGAGGATATAAAATAACGCGCGTTTATAGGCCTTGTCATGCAACCCATTGTTGGAGCCTTATCGGATAAATGTACATCCCGCTGGGGACGACGGCGACCATTTCTAGTAGGAGGAAGCGTTATTGTCATTCTAAATTTGGCCACCATTGGGTGGACTAGAGATATTGTGGGTATTGTAATCGACCGCAACGATGAAACCAAGGTTAGTGCGGTAATCTCCAAAGTGATATTACGAGGTACTCGTCACTAATATATGCAACATATAGTATAAGCATGGAACGATCGGTCTTGCAATTGCATCCATTTACATTTTAGATTTTGCTATCAATTGTGGTGGGTATTTGTTGTATAGGCTGTTGGTCTATGTTGTACCCAAGTTCACCAAGGTTAACATATTACAATACCTTTTATTTCAGTTCAAGCATCGTGTAGAGCAATTCTTGTAGATGCCCTGCCTCCTTCACAGCAAGAAGATGGTACGGCATGGGCGGGAAGAATGGTTGGTTTCGGTAGCGTGGCAGGCTATTTCATGTAGGTGTCTGTACAGGAAAAGGATGGTTAACCAGCTTGACTTATTGGAGGACAACATACGCTAATGCAGAATCATTTAGGGGCTACGCCGACCTTGTTCGATTTTTACCATTTTTTGGAAATACCCAACTTAAAGTTTTGTGTGTAGTTGCCATGATCGTACTCGCTATTACGGATGCTATGACTTGTTATGCTGTACAAGAGATTCCCTTGACAAAACCAGAGTAAGTTTGGTCCCTTTGTCGTTTTTGACTATGGACTTCAACCTTGCAGCCCTAACTGACTTGCCATTCTATTAATATCCTAAACAGCAAAAATTCTCGAACATCACCATTACAGACCCTAGCAGCCATTGGTCACAGTATCTGGACTTTGCCTGCGCCAGTTCAGCGTGTTTGCAATGTTCAGTTCTTTGCCTGGATGGGTTGGTTCCCCTTTCTGTTCTATTCAACAACGTGGGTAGCGGAAATCTACAGTGAATCAGCCTTACAAGACGACGGTGGTGATCCAACGGAAGACAAGGTCGGCCAAGCAACTCGAGCAGGCTCATTTGCATTTCTGGTCTATTCACTCATATCACTTGCTACATCTCTCTTTTTACCGTTGGTGATCTCATCTTCTTATGCTGCAGTGGACAATACACCCAAGTCTTTAGACTTTAATCTGTTTGGCCGACATTATTCCATCTCCTCGTCGTCGGTCAAGCTATCCTTTTTAACCCTTCCACGAGCTTGGACCATCAGCCATTTCATCTTTTGCATTGCCATGCTGTTTACCATCTTCGCCAACAATGTTGCCATTGCATCTGTCCTCATTGGAATCTGCGGAGTTAGTTGGTCGGTCACGATGTGGGCTCCGTTCTCGCTTCTCGGAGAGTACATTGCACATGCACAGTTTCAACAAGATAGAGAAGCAGACGACATGCAGGAATCTCAGCTCGGCCGTCTTGCAAATACAAGAGCTATGGCTTCTACCGTCAGTCTAGCTGCAGGAGGTGCCGGATTAGGTATGGAAGGTGGTATGTATCAACTCGTCGAGACGGCACAATCGACTCGACCTTCCGATCGCATGGAGCTTGATGATCTTGAATCACCTACTGCGCGAATCTCAGAGAACCCGCTTCTTCGACCCTCAATGGACTCTGACTTTGACTTGGATTCGCTGGATCCCGTTACCCAAACTCAACACCAGCAGGACATTGCATCTGCTGGCGTCCTCTTAGGAATTCACAATATGTACATTGTGCTTCCCCAATTCCTTGTCACCTTTCTCAGCAGTATATTATTTCATTTCATCGAATCTTCAACGTCAGACCAGGATACCAACGCAATCGGCATTGTGCTACGAGTTGGTGCCGTCATGGCTGGCGTTGCCTGTTATTTGAGTCTACGAATAAGATGAGAACGGAATCGATGATGAAAAAGAAACTCCCCACCGTCCTCGACCACATATTACTTTGTTGCGTCTACTTTATCATTAGAACCGGCATGTCAGTTGTGGTCAAAAAGATTTAATGTACAATTTCTATCTTGATCAATAAATAAATACGATGACTAAAAGAAGTTGACTACTGCCGTGATCAGAAATTTTAAGGAAACTCGATTTGTTTCTTCATGTTGATATACAGATGCTGCAGCGTACATTAGTACCACTTTCCAAACTAGCCTTGATACTTCTTGTGCTTGCTAGTGCTCATTAAAGATGTAGCTCGCTATAAGTTCAGTAATCACATTTTTTTTTTCTTCAGTACAAAATGCTTGGGGCTATTTTACATCTGTAAGTTTATCTCTTGACATATTCTTTAAAAAAGTCGAGATTAATCAAACTCAGTGAAGACTAAGTAATTTTTTTTCTAACTCAAGAAGTTATTCTGTTGCCGTTATTATTGTTATACCGATTTTACCTTTATTAGTGACACTTATTTTTTTAAAAATATTTTTATTTGTTGTTGTGTCATTCTTTGTGGGCAAAACTACATCTTTACAAAAACGGTAGCTTCACGAGATTATTTCTGAATTTTTTTTTACTTTATACTCTAACGATAAACTGTTATATTACACCGGCCCGGCAGGCTACATGGTGGTTTTGTAAGAAACGACATATATATGATGGCCATTTATAATTTCAAGCTGCAAATGCTTGTGTCAATTTAATGAGAACTGGCGTTCAAAAATTCATAGATTATTTTTGCATTGCTGTCAAAATTGTTTGAAACACGTAGGATATTGAATCTACAACTTTTGCCGAAAAGCTGTTATGTTAAATGTAGCAGCCTGCTGAAACAATATCCATTGAGCCTGGAGTTTCCAATCAAGCTTAATATTAGAATTATTTATTGAAGAGAGTACTTTTATGTATATCAACGCAATAAAAATCCTGATATGCCTGAGAGCAAATGGTAGAATTATATAAATGAGCCAGAGGCAACTGGTAAGATCAAAGTCAAATATTATTGGATTTTATTAAAAGTTAAACTGAACTTTTCAAGTTCTGACTCCTTGGCGCAATTGGTAGCGCGTTCGCCTCCAGAGCGAAAGGTTAAGTGTTCGAGTCACTTAGGGGTCATTTTTTGATTGGCTGCGGTAGATATCGGAGTGTTAATTTTATGTGCAAGCCGCAAGATATTTGCGTTTAACCTTTCCATTGTCGAAGGAATGGTAAATTTGCTGCAGTTACTTCACGTTTGGTAAGAGAAACAACAATACTAAGAAAGACTGCGTTAGTAAGCATAATCGGCAATTATGTTGATAAGATATACGTCTGATATGCCCGAAGCTATTTTGAAATTGTATTTCTCCTTCCTGAAGTCGCTATTTATTGCCAGAAAGGACTGATCGTGAAGATTTTCAGTACACAGGAATGATCCTGATATAAAGGTATACGATGAACAATACTGATTGAATGTGGATGACTATATTGTCAGGTATTGCATGGCTCATTTTGGGGATATACTGAAACAAATTGGGTATTTTTTGGGTGGGATGTATGGCATGACAGAAGGTTTTTCTTTAATGACCAAAAAATTCATTTCATGACTTCGGCAGTGTCGATTCATCAAGACAAGCATCATGAAAAACAGCTACTCAAAGCGCTTACATAGTACTCTAACAACCACAATCCCACTTGCTCCTACCATATCTATCGTCGCCAATAGCTCGTTCCTAGTCATTTCAAACGTGGCAGCAAAAGGTATTACGTTATAAACATTATTCTTTACGCATTTCAGTTATGAAAGGTTTGGAATAGCTACCTGAGTAAAATAAAGTTACTAAAGCCTGTTATCAGGAAGATGAACAACTGTCATTTGCTTGAAAGTATGTCTATGCTCTGGCGATACATCATCCACAGCCGTACGTTTTCCTTCCTCTGTGTAAGTTTAGATATCAACAATACCTGCCTTTCAACTGCCGCAAACATTCCTTTCAGCACAGTATAAACTTCGACCTTATATCCGGCATCGAACTTCGACATCAGTAAATGACATTCATCCACCGTAGCAACACACTACAAATTTTCGCAATGGGTCGACTGCAAATATCCTGAGTTTCATACTTGCATAAACACGCCGCATTAGCTCACAGTACTGATTGCTATGACTGCCATTATTTTCTTACCCTGTAGCTAAAAGCAATAAATGGCAACGCCATCTTCTTTTCCTTCCTCCACCCTAGCTTCCTGGTATATTCTGCAAATGCAATCTCTGCTACCTGGGACCAGTTTCACCAGAAAGTCGTACCTCGTCTTCCAGTTTGCTCTAGAAAGTATTCCGCAAGATATTTCACCAACCAGTACTTTCGGACTGAAAGATAGTCCATCAAATTGCAACATAATAGTCATACTTTGGACCTATTCTCCCTCGGAGTTGGGGATCTACGGTACTGTTTCGTCTTTCAGAAGACGCTTTCAAAGTAATCGCTCCTAGTATCACTATGTTAGGACGAAAGCTTTCGTATTACTGCGGATTAATTGCTTGACGAAAGATCGGGCGCTGACAACAAACCTGTGTGCCCCCTGCACCTTCCTGCTTTAAAACAGAACTTTGCCTCAGCTTCGAGAGTCTGCGTCTTTGCACGTTCAGATTGTTACATACAAAAGCATGTGAACGGTTCACACCTCTCATCCGGTCAATCCGGCTATAGTATCAACATCATTGCAAGTCTTCAAGTCAGCGACCATACTGCTACTTTTTAAACTGTGATGTATAAATGTGCAGACACTCACAAGAAGTTGAACGATTCTTGCTTTGCTATCTGACCAAACCATCGGTGGATCTTTTTGCTTACGCTCTGTCTTCTCTGGGAACGTGCTATCTCGATATACTTACCGCTTATTCAATGCAAAACATTCATCAGTGCGTTGATATGACGTTAATTCTTTACCTAGCGATGAGAGACCTTCTGGTCAGAGCTGTTTGCCTTAGGCTCCACTGGCCTTGTTGAGCAAAGAGAAATTTCTGCCAAAGATCCTGCTCCACCCGTGCACGACAGATAAGCTGCTGCTGTGTACCGGTCACATTCTTTTCCATATTAAATTTCATTTCGAAATTGATGTGGCTCTGCTGCTGAGAGACCTGAACAAGTGGCACGCTTCGACTATCACATTCAACATATACTCAAGTGCATCAAATGCCAAGCTTAATGTGTCAAAATCGGAAGTAATTGCACTCAACAAAGTCCCACAACGGCAATGGCAACAATTGTGTTCATAGCTGAATATATGCTGGCATGACCGTACAACCATTGCCATCGCCATATACCTTGGTTATTCGTTATATTGCTCTCAACGACAATTTCATGACCATTTCGTTGAACGGTTAGTAAAGATCGAATCTGAACCTGCAGAGCCAAATCATGGCTCTACAAAAGAATCTGATGATTGATATTTTGACGGATAAAAAGCGGTATTGCACCAACTTCATGCGCCGACTGATATGGGTCCTCAACCGGAACGTACCACAATCGTGGCAGCTCTAAACCATGCCAAGAGGACAAGGTCTTTGTGCTATAGGCGCAACACTGGGCATGAATCCTTAATGAACGACCATTCAAAACAGACGTTGTACTGAACGCGCAGTCCATCTTGCGGATAACTTTTGTTGATTGGATATCTTAACATGATAGCGCCCCGAATTTACTTTACAGTACGGCACTCGAACAGCAAATCAACATAATCCTCGAACTGAAGGCTTTACAATCGGAGTGACTAAAGCCATTGCCAAGTTGGACAAGTACTTTAGCAAAACCTGGAATGGCTTAATACTGGCTACAACGATAGCTTTGGATCCTCGTTCCAAGTTTGTATTATGGGAACCTCGAACCTCCAACGGCAAGATATCGATGCTGGCAGAAGACAGTGCGCCTTGTTTGGCAAAATTTTCGGCCATCTGTCACGCCTCTTCCTACGGACTCAGCACAGATGCTGTTTCGACAAGGCATCGTTCGGGAAGACCAATTTACGGATTATATTACAGAAAGCATATCGCCAGCAACGAACGCTTTTGGATGTGCTACAATATTGGAAGATGAGAGAAGCAGCATGTCGAAACCTCAGTTAAATGGCGAGGAAACATTGGGCTGTATGATGTGCGGGCTCAGCCCCAAGCGAACGTTGCTTTTCGCAAGATGGTCAAATGAATGTTATGGTTTTCATTTTCTTTGACCTTATATATTTTGGCAGTGGACATGTGAAGGACTGCGCAAAACATGTAGGGAGAACCAGGAATGATACTGCCCATTTAACAGGGCAGAACGCTTTCATCATGGTTGGCTACGAAGAACAATCGATATGATGTAAGTAAATTATATAGTTTATTGCTTGTCATATTTTTGTGCTCACCGCTGTTTTAAAGGATTGTTGAATTTGAAGCCGGGAGCCTAAAGGTGCAACATCAAGAAAATTGGTACATGGTCAGGATCTGGTCCTTGATAGACAGATTATATACTGACGTGGAAGGTTTGGAAGTCGTGCGGTAAGATACCATTCTTCTATGAGATATAAAAGACAGCGCTCATAAGTTATTCATTTAAAACTTAGAGGAGAATCAAGTAGCATCGCGACTGCTACAAGAAAAAACCAAGGCAGGGTTTTTTCCTCCATGGTCAAAAGGAAGAGGAAGGCCATGGGAAAATGTGGCGACTTTAATTCCGAGGAAAGGGTCGGCAGAATATGGCTGCGCTGAAGCTGGGGCGAAGGATGAAGGAATGTGGGGTACGAAGAGGCTGCTGGAGAAGGGTGGAGTGGCCAAAGTGCTCAAAGACATGATCAACCAGCTGGTTGAACTTGTCTGTAACACAGAGTCTTCGGTCCGACAACTGTATACCGTCGGATATATCATATCAGGTGCGTTGACAATAGTATACTTGTGGTAAAGAAAATCAGATTTTAATCAATACGTTAAATAGGATTGTCAATGGAGTTGATGGTGATGGACTTTCCAAAGGGTTACAGTTGTCGCATCGCAAGATCCAAGCAATACGATGTTCCAAGCTCAGCGGAACAAGTCAAGAGCAAATTGCTGCCCTTGATGTCTGTCCTGATTGCATCGAAGGTAGGCATTATTATTGTGGACTTTGCTTTCGCCATATAAATCGTTAATTGTTGGTTTATTAAGTTGTTGGTCCTGAGGGTGATGAAACAATGGAAGGTCATGTCGATTCTAGCGCCGAATTCAGAAGTTCATTAGAGAACGCCTTTGTAGCTGCTGAATCGACTACTCCATCATCCCCAAAGCGCGAGAAAATCATGCTTCCCAATTGCAACATAATGCCTCGAAGCGAAAATTAGTGGAAGCGGGAGGCAGCCTACAACAATTGTGGAATTATCAAGATACAAGCGAGAAGTACACAAAAAGCAATATCGTAAGCCGCGGAGGCCGAAAACGTACACTACACCAACTACCGAAGACACTTGACGACTTTTACACGCAGAGAACTTTTGATGCATTTAGGTAAATATTTTGTTGAAATTTTTAAGTGTAGGACGCTACAAAGAGAGTTTAACGTTTATCAGGGCGAGCGATTTAGAATGTCTTTACAAGTGCCGCTGATCCAGTTGCAGTCCAGTTACTTTGAAAAAAAGGTATTTACTATCAAACCCTGCCCACTTTGTCTCCTAAGACCATAATACTGACAACCAACTTGCACAGAGACATACTTATTTGGATGAGGATAACAATCCATTTATTGCCAATGTTAGTATCAAGCTGAGCAGTTACATGTTTTTCCTTCTGATCGTACTGAAAGTTTTACCGTCGTATATCGCGCGTGTCCCTCTAATCAAGCTTGGAAGCTTATCTGTTCCCCTCGACACTAAAGGAAAAGGTGTTAGCATCGCACCACCAAATTCAAACACTGACTCGCCACAAAAGCCGAAGTTAAAGCATACAGAAGTCTTACAAATATCCAAAGTGGCAATAGTAGGAATGCACGGCAGGATATTGAAAGCGGAAGATGTACAACATGAAATCCAGTTGAGTCGTGACGCTAACAGAAGACTGGAATCGTTGAACGGTCTAGGCTAGTGCATGGTCATTTGAAGAAATTGGTATTAATTGCTGACCCAGTTGAGTTTCTCAAGTCGATTGGGGACCACAACCTGCATCTTAATACCGCGAAGTTATCGAGGACAGATATGTGGAAACGCAGAAGGAACGTCAACAGGAGATAAAGAGATTCCTCACGTAGTAGAGAGGAATCATAAAAGCGATACAAAGGTGATGGAGTACAATAGATAACTTCCACCTTTAGTGAGAAGATGTACAACCCCTGGGTGACACACCGAAACGCGAAGTACTCTACAATTGTAACACGGGCGACCTTAAGGAAAGACCTTGGACGGCGATCCCTAAATGAAAACAACCACAACTCGGAGCCGTAGAACCGATGTATTGAAAAGCACATAACCTATAAAAGAGTTGTAGAAAGATAGAAAATAAAGCATTAACCTTTGTAACTCATTACGGGTAATTATCGTTCTAACTAACGACTAAGGAACTCGAAAAAGTTGCAACAGTAAGTTTTTAATGACTGCAAAGCTCACTTTGACTGACTTCCATGCCATGGTTGCATTCCATCTAAATGGACCCTATGATCATACTATGAGCGAACATTTTGGGTAGAACGCGTTATACCTATGTTCAAATATCTGTCTAAAATGACTGGGTTCGTCAGTTTTAAGTGGTAAGCATGATAAGTATTGCGCATATGCGCATACGCGCAGCTCGACATGATTTAGCTGTCAAATTTGACAGGTACGAAATACCAACTGAATCTCGGCCGATCGCAACACTGGTGCTCGATACTTGGTCAGGTAAGTTTGGGCGATGGTATCTGCATATCATTTCTACATCCTTTTACTGTAATTGAATTATGACTTTTACTCTTGTAACAGGAAGTGTACGATATGCTGATGGGTTTAGGAGAAGCCGGTCATGGCAAAGTAATCGTGCTCGAGGCATCAAGTGGAGTTTTGAGTGAAGATGTCTCGCATTCAAATGGTGATATCCTCAAATTGATACAGAGTGCTACCGAAATTTGAAGGCTAAGCTTCTCAAAAATTAGACTGCAGTTATTCTACTTTTCTTTGTCGAAAGATCTTGATTATACAGACAGGCATGACTATGATGGTCTTGTCCTCAGTATCACCCCTGGATAATCAAAGATACAAAGCAGTCGAAGTAAGATATGGAAATATTCCTGTCAAGTTGGAAGACAGCTACAGCTGGATGAGGATATTCGAACTGCTTCCACCGTAATGGTAAGTTTCAATGACTGAACACGAAATGGAAGTCGATTCTGGCCATTAGGTTATCTGTATGGTTGAAATATACTGGTGGAGCAGCGCAGCGTTTCTGAAACTTTCAAGCAAGAGAAAAATGGTCTGCTTGACGTTCGAAAAGAAGATACGGTTGAACGGTGGCTAGTCTCAATGTCGTTTTCAATTGGACTTCCTGTCATGCCGAGCGACGCAATCTCACCAACGGACTTACATGTGCACGAATAAGATATTTTATTTCAAGTAAATCGACTGATACCTTTGACAAGGATTTTAAAGCGCTAGTAATGTACAGGGCGTGGATAGGTAATATTTTCAACTTGGTCCCTCACTGTATTGTTTTCTCATCACACATTACATTTCAATTTTTTATGCTATCACCACACAGCATTTATTTTTTGTGCAAATTCATCACAATCCTTCTCACTAGCATATCGACTTTATGCCAGCATTAATCATAAGTCTTACTTCACTTTCCCTTCACTGTTTACGCATTTAAAAGTATGTGTCTCAAAAACGACCTGTCAATAAAACCTCTATAAGATATTCATCGCTTCGATGACCTGCCTCTTGTCCTCGTTACCTAAAGTCCTAAGACTTTTGCTTCCCCTTTCATTCGTTACGCTATGTTAACAATACTTTATCTGAGCTGTATTTTCCTCCATCATATATTTGCTTGTATTAGAAGATTACTCTGTGCTTGAAAAAGACACTTATGTTTTGACTTTTTCTTCCCAAGTGCTCAGCATCATCACCAGTACTTATCCCTCCTGTATGGCGCATATTTGAGCGTCTCGGAACAAAAAATAAGCTGTTTGTGTGCCACAAGCCTTGTAATACATAACAAGCCTCAGGATCTGCCGTTCTCAGAACGGATCCTTCCGTCGAACGAACTTTATAAGTGGAATGGCTTGGGCTTTATAAACCCATCGCATTATAATCGCAGTTTTACTTTCTTTCCTCAAAAGTGGTCATATTATTAGCTGCGCAATCGGTTTACGCTTACATAGAAACTTTAGTAGTGCATATTTTATAGCCTGAGTGCCATTCTGCATACTTTTCTTGGTATTTACAGCATATGTTTTCGCTTCCACAAGATCCTCCTGATGTACTGGTCAAGTTGTTGCAATTTGGTCCTTTGGTAGCCGTTTCTGCTATAGATACCACCGAAGATTGGCTTCTCGGCCTAAGACTTGGCCTCCCTGTTAATGGCATTGGAGTAGGACCCATACGGGTCCTTACTGCTGTGTGGAACGATAAAAAGGTTTCTGTACCAGAATGCCTGGCTGTTGGTCTCATGTGGAGCCACTTATGCAAGATTCGTATTCCAATGGTGGCAAACTGGATAAATGATAGAGTAAATGAAGGTGTACGTGAAATTTTTCAAAGCAAAACTCGTGAAACGCTAATACTTTGGTACGAAATTACGTCGGTTCCCGGTATCCATAAGGACTGCAAAATAACCAAGAAAGCGATTGTTCAGCTGTTATGGGTATTTTTGGTAGTCGTAACATCCATTCTACTACAAGCTTATGGTGCCATAGCACTCTCGCTCTTGTTAGTTATACAAATGCTTGCTGTAATGAATGGAATGGCTGGAACTAGCGAGGTTCCTTATCTTAAAAATCGTAAGAAGCAAGATAAAAGGTTCTTCATTGCGGCACCTCATTTTTCTTCCGACAGTTTGGTGCTGTTCCAAGGCAACAACGGAATTTTAGAATCAACACTTAATGGAGCTATACAGTATAAAAGTTCGAGTTTAACCGGAAAATCTATTGCTTGCATACTGGTTGCAGCGCAAGCAATTGCTGTACTTTATGCAACTGGAGAGAGCGGTTGGGATGCCGTACTTACCACCTGCCTCCTATTTGGATTATGGTTACTGAGTCAATGGGGCAAAAACAGCTCTGAACTTTGGCGAGATGAAAACTGGAGGCAGCGCTTGATTCGAAAAGTCAAGTTTCCTACAAGAAAATCTGCTTGGTTTTTTTGCGCTCTTCAAACAGAAAATTTTAGTGAGGAAAAGTGGTTCCGGCATGTATTGCCTCTATCCTCCAATATTTGTTTGTTACTGAAATTATTCACAGCAGTGAGGAAGTACAAGCCAAAAACAATGGCTGAATTTAAGGAAATTTATTTGAAGGAGGGTATAGATCGAAAAACTCTAGTAGATTTGGAAGAAGACATCCTTGCCGCATACCAAATTCATATAGATTTAGCAAACAGTGAAAAAGGGAACGATAAAGCACACGTAACAATCACCATGTCATAAAAAAAGAGCTAGATATTTTTACTAGTATATAACACGTTAACGTTTAAACATCTCCTTCGTAACATATACGACCAAAATACTTGACCAATAAGCTGTCCTGATACAATCTACCATACATCAGAGCTAGATATACGTTTTCTGTCGAAATGAATTTCTGTAGAAAATTCGTCAAGTCCATCGGACTCCCGAACATGAGCCTAGAGATTTCCCTCCCTCCCTCCTCAATACTCAGGCTCAAGATATGATTAAGGGAGCTGCTTCACTTACACTTCACATTTTTACAATCGATGGGCTTAAAATTTTGCCATTTTCACAGAAGTCGTTCTACATATCACCATCTCCCACCGAATTTCCCACTTATTTCTTACTTGAGTGCAGTTTTTTTTATATATTTTTTTTTACTATGCCAGTACAAATATTGATTAAGAATATGAAAAATTGAAGAGTATAAAAAACAGACAATGTCTTTCGCAAAGTATGCTAAAAATGCAGGGACTGGCAAGCAAGCTACATACAAGGGGAGTTATCCAGAAAACAAGTTTTAAAGCATCTTTGTCATTATGATATACTATGCTAATTTTCGCTTTGTAGGCGTTATGTTGCAATTGGGAAGCATGATTGTCTCGCGCTTTGGGGATGATGGAGTAGTCGATTCAGCAGTTACAAAGGGGTTCTCTAATGAGCTTCTGAATTCGGCGCTAGAATCGCCATGACCTTCCACTCTTTTCATCACCCTCAGGACCAACAACTTAATAAACCAACAATTAATGATTTATGGCTTAATTAAAGTTCTGAAAAATAATGCCTACCTTCGATGCAATCAGGACAGACATCAGAGGCAGCAATTTGCTCTTGACTTGTTCCGCTGAGCTTGGAACTTGGTATTGCTTGGATCTTGTGATGCGACAACTGTAACCCTTTGGAGAGTCCATCACCATCAACTCCATTGACAATCCTATTTAACGTATTGATTAAAATCTGATTTTCTTTACCACAAATATACTATTGTCAACGCACCTGATATGATATACCCGACGGTATACAGTTGTCGGACCGAAGACTCTGTGTTACAGACAAGTTCAACCAGCTGGTTGATCATGTCTTTGAGCACTTTGGCCGCTTCTACATCCTTCTCCAGCAGCCTCTTCGTACCCCACATTCCTTCATCCTTCGCCCCAGCTTCAGCGCAGCCATATTCTGCCGAGCCTTTCCTCGGAATCAAGTCGCCACGTTTTCCCATGGCCTTCCTCTTCATTTGAACCATTGAGGGAATAACCCTGCCTTGGTTTCTTCTTGAAGCAGTCGCGATGCTACTTGCCTCTCCTCTAAGTTTTGATTTAATAACTTTTGAGTGCGTGTCTTTTATATCTCATAGAAGAATAATATCTTACCGCACTACTTCCGAACCTTCAACGTCAGTATTTAATCTGTCTATTAAAGACCAGATCCTGACCATATACCAATTTTCTTGATGTTGCACCTTTAGACTCCCGGCTTCAAATTCAGCAATCCTTTGCAACCAGCAGTGAGCACAAGAATATGACAAGCAATAAACCTTATAATTTGCTTACATGATATCGATTGATCTTCGGATCCAATCATGATGAAAGCGTTCTGCCCTGTTGAACGGGTAGTACCATTCCTGATTTTCCCTACATGTTTTGCGTAATTCTTCACATGTCCGCTGCCATAATATATAAGGTCAAAAAAATGATAACTATAGGACTCAATCTACCATAATTTACACATACACCGTTGAATAATGCCAGGTAGTCCACAACATTACTTGGCAGAGTACCTACTACTACAGGCTAAAAGTTTTTGATCTCTTGGAGCTCGCCTTCGGTAAAAACCCCTTGCTGTATATAGGTGGCGTCATAAGGGTCTATAATGAATGATAGAGACGGACTGATTTTACATTGTTAAAATTGATATGTATGAGCATATGCATTACATCACTCACTGTTAATAGGTGCATTGCCGCGCAAATTTGTATAGCTCGTCTTCTACGCATTTTCCAGTGGACAATTTTCATATCTGATTCTCCTCCATATGTTGGTATGTCTTGGTGTGCATCTCAAGTGTTTCGCTTATAAGGTTGTTGTTGCTTTCTTCGTGCCCAGGAATGAACTCCTCAGCATGATCAATATCCTAATATGATGGCATTCAAAACATGTAAACATGTGAGCGGTATAAATTACAGAAACTTACTTCCACTTCATCTAACAAGAAGTGATTCATCGGTTAATATCAATTTTTTTAACAGCATTTATATGGGGTATTTACCAGTTGCACTAGAGATATCTCCTTCATCAGCTTGCAATACTAAACGTGAACTATTATTATATTTCATATCTTTTGTAGCAAGACATGCATATCACACATACCGGTATGAGTTTGATCAATGTGCATTTTCAAATCGGAAATGTCAGCGCAGTGGTATTCGTAGGCAATCTGGCGTTATTGATATGGGAGAGGAAAGAAAAGGATGTACCATGCAAGAAAAATAAGTGAAAAAATTAAATTGAGCATGAAAAGTGAAAGTTTCATCAAAATAACATCACTACCCCTTCATGTCGTTCTCATCGACCCTTTCTGATTTCCTTTCAATCAATTAGCCTTTTATCGTTCTCTCATCAAACCTTTATGTTTCTATTCACGCTTTTCACATCCCATTATACCTTAAAGCTAAGTTTGTAATACTGATTCTTTTCATTGACACTTCTTTCTTTACTATGCCTATTGGCCAGCCTTGCATTACGAAAGCAGTGCCCATTTGATAGATATTTAGAAGTCATCGTTTTCAGTATTGCTATATTTTTGGGCACATTTTCCATAGAGGGAAGCAAACACGATGCAGCTGTAAACACTAAAGAAGAGAGCCAATAGTCCTGCGTTAGATGGTTCTTTTCTTTTTATTCATTGACAAGAGACAAAGTCGTTAAGCTAATTAATTCTATCATAAAAGCGGTTTAAATAGCATCTATCCCACCAATACACCCCAATTTTTTTCTTGAAATCCGACCATCCAAGGGCTTCCTGAGATCTCTTTAAGGCCTATAATTATGACCGAAGTATGAAAAGTTAGGAATTATTATAAAATTGGGTGAGAAATAGGAGCTGTTTAGTAGTGGGTGAGAGTTGGTGATGAAGTCTAGGGTATGATGTGCATTACTGGAGAAGATGGCAGAAGAGCTGTATTTGACGATGAATGGCTTGCTTGGAGTTGAGTAAGGAGTGGGCTGAGATGTAGAAGTGAGTTAATGGCAGGTGTTAAAGGAAACAAAAGAATAAAAGAATAAAAGGAAAACGGAAAAGTGGACAGTAGTTTATTAAAATGATTTTTTTTCACTCGCTTAATCAGTGCTTATTTCAAAGGATTAGTATCTTGATAATCTTTCCTCTCTAAATTTACGCACCTCTCTCTCTAGACATACACGCCTACATACATACTTACCTTTTCACAATCTTACAATTACAATTTCAAACACCCCGAAGGTTCATAAATGCTCATTGTCAGACAACTCAGACAACTCAGACTTCGAAAAGAGAATATGAAAAGTTTAAGATAAGAGAGTGGTGTTCTCGTAAGAGAACAATATGTCCACCAAGAGCTTCATCTCAGCGGATCGTACCAACAAGGGTACTCTGCCGCTTACAATACTCCGTTGTATATTCAAGTCGTCTGCAAAGGATTTTACATTTCCAATATTTGAAATTATCATGCGCCAGGAGACCAGCAAGCCTTTCCGCTTACTAGCCTGAACTAACAAAATATGATTCAGATCACAAGGGCTATTCGTATTCAACTAAATAAGGAGAAATCAAATCATCGCTTCCAGCATGACTTCTAACTTAGAAGCGTTCGGCTATAATCCAGCACATGGTAGCTTCGCGGCATTGTCTTCTCAGATAACCTCAAATACCAATGATGTGAATGAAGGGTTCCTCTTGTACTAATTTCAATTACAGTTGCGATAATAACTTCATCAGTAGGGTAAAACTAACTCTCACGGCAGCCTAAACCCAGCTCACGTGAGTATCTAGCAGGTGAACAATCTTGCAAAACATCACAACATTGCAAGATGCAATGAGGTGTTTCCAGATGCATATAATAAATTAAATTATCACCACCTACAGAGCTTTTGACGCAATCTGGGCTCCGTGAATGAGTGATCTAACCCGAGCGTACCTAAACAGCCTTCGAAACTCGGCCATACAACTTTGGTCCCTGAGAATGCTTGATATGCGTTGCTCATAAAAAGGGTTGATATTTAGCATTATGCAGTAGGCATTGCATTATTTTCGAGATGGAATGCCGGCGAGCAAGTATGAGATCATTGGGCTACCTGTAATTGGCATAAATTGACATCTCACACCAGGTTCTAGTGATTCAGTGGCTGCATTTCTAGAGAAAGTGACTACGTTTTGGAGCGTTTTGGAGCTAACATTTGCTTTTTTGCCTACATCACTTTATTATTGGTGCCTACGTCACTTTATTATTGTCGACGTCACTTTATTGTCTCTGAAATTTTGATGAATTTGGCGCTACGTCACTTTATTACTGTCGACGTCACTTTATTTGTCTCTGAATTTTAGAGAATTTTGGTGTCTACGTCACTTTATAGCCTCTAGGTTTTTTGCTCCAAAACGTAGTCACTTGCTCCCAACGTGCTCCAAAAACGAAGTCACTTGCTCCAACTTGCTCCCAACTTGGGGAGAATCAAGCCCCCAAAACGAAACCTAGCTCCAACTTGCTCTGCAAATGCAGTCACCTGCCCGTTAGAATTGGAAACGTCAGCGCAGTGGTATTTGCAGGCAATGCATTCATAGTGAACAAGGCATTTGAAGTCTTTGCAAGGGCATATTTATACCTATATACGATTAAACTTCTCCCTATATTAATCGCAATAAAGATGTGAAAATAGTTACTCTTCTCTATCTTTTCTCCAAAACTGTTTTCCGCGCGCCATCTCAATCTGTATGCCTAATAAGCAATAGTCAACTCGAACGAACCATTTAGCGCTATGATACAATATCTCATACCATGGTATTGTTTTAGGCGCCTTTTCAGATTGATAGCCCTATGGCTGTTCTGCTTGCAAATGTGACAAATGAGTTTAAAGTAATAACTTGAGGCATTGTGCTTGACATATGATAGCTCTGTGCTGTAATCTGGCGTTATTGATATATGGGTGGAGAGAAAGGATGTGCCATGCAAGAAAAAATAAGTAAAACGATTAATTTGAGCATGAAGAAGAAAAAAGTCTCATCAAATAACATCACTATCCCTTTATGCCTTTCTTATCGACCCTTTCTGATTCCCTTTCAATCAATCAGCCCTTCATCGTACTCTCATCAAACCTTTATGTTTCTATTCTCGCTTTTCACATGCCTTTATATTTTAAAGGTAAGTTTGTACTACTGATCCTTTCATTGACACTTCTTTTCTTTACTATGCCTATTGGCCAGCCTTGCATTACGAAAGCAATGCCCATTTAATAGATATTTAGAAGTCATCATTTTCAGTATTACTATGATTTTGGGAGGGGATTTCCGTAGAGGAAAACAATATGCAGATTTAACAAAAAAAGGAGCTGTAAGCACTAAAGAAGAGTCAGTAGAGCTGTGTTAGATGGTCTTTTCTTTTTTATTCATTGACAAGAGACAAAGTCGTTAAGCTAATTAATTCTGTCATAAAAACGTTTTACATAGCATGCATCCCACCAGAAAACCCCCAATTTTTTTTTCTTGAAATCCGACCATCCAAGGACTTCCTGAGATCTTCCTAAGGCCTGTAATTATGGTTGAAGTATAAAAAGTTGAGTATAATTATGGAAATGGGTGAGAAATAGGAGCTGTTTAGTAGTGGGTGAGGGTTGGTGATGAAGTCTAAGGTATTACGTACATTACTGGAGAAGATGGCAGAAGAGCTGTATTTGACGATGAATGGCTTGCTTGGAGTTGAGTATGGAGTGGCGCTGAGATGTAGAAGTGAAGTAAAGGTAGGTGCTAAAGGAAACAAAAAAATAAAAGGAGAAGAACGAAAACGTTGGACAGTGGTTTGTTAATTTTTTTTTTCACTCGTTTAATCAGTGCTTATTTTAGAGGATTAGTATCTTCATCATCTTTCCTCTCTAGATCGCACTTCTTTCTCTAGACATACGCACTTTCATACATCAATACACTACTTTGGATAATATTGTTGGGGTTGGTATTGCGAAAGATCCAGGAATACTGGAATATCTGTGTGTTGATGAACATTATCAAAACCAATCCATAGGCCTCAAGATGCTCAACCATTTCGTGAACATATACTCCAGCTTAAGAATGATGGTGACGCCTGACATACATGTGCATCAAAATCATTTCGACTTTGCTTATGATAACGGCGATCTGATCATCACATCAAAACACGCTTAGATAGATTTGAAAATTACTTCGATTAATTATTATTGTTAAACCCATCTGTACAACATGTTGCAAAAGGAAAGCGTTATCTATGTACGAATTACAGCATCTTGTTTAGCTTAATCAATCGCTTTAAAACATCCATGTGGCTAACCGGCTTTGTTGTGTATTGCTTTCAATATCCCTAATATCTCACGGCGCTCGCTTGGATAACAAAAATCTAATCCAATAACAGGTGCTAAAGTATCTTCTGACATAACAGGCGCACTAGGATATCTGAAAATATCCATCTTGTTTTTGATTGGGAGCCGATGATAGCATTCGTCGATATAGGGTTTATATGCTTCGGTTGTGTAGAATGTGAACAACGTGCCTATGATTCTTATGGCATTCACAACAATCGGGAGCTTCAGCTCTCGGGTGTATTCAGACATCTGCACAGTGTGATAGACGCATCCAAACATTTCGCCTGCTATTTTATTTTCGGACCAGTCATTGAAGGATCCAGTGTTATCTTCGTGTTTGTCTTCCACAATCAACAATACGTAAGATTGTGAATTAGTCACGATGAACTCAACCTTACAGCGTATCGTTTTGTCTCCTTGGAATTTGGCTGTATACATGTATTGAGGATACATCATACACGGGTATTCGTCGAACTCGAGAAAAGTCAGAAGCGACATCATGAACCCGTCTACCCGTACTTCTTTCTTTGCCGGCCCCGTGTGCAACTTGATGATGTATTTTATTTTCATGATGATAGATGCGACCGATTTGTCGAATCCCTTTATTTGTTCGTTTGTTGCATATTCGAAATGAGGCTTCTCCCACGAGTCTAGAAGTAGCTTCTCATATTTCCCATGGAGAGGCGCTATTTCAGCAGATCGGAGTTGGTTGTTGTAATGTATCTTTAGAGCCACCAAATGCTCTCGACCCCAGCTGCTTGTGTCGCTTGGTATGTCGTTGATGTCGTCGATGATACCATATACATCTGACCCCTCGCTGCTGACATCTTTGTAATTTTTTTTCGCTCGCTTTCTTTTCCATTCCATTTCTAGGATATTATTGAATGTCGGCGAGCAAGTATGAGATCAATGGGCTACTTGTAATCGGCGTAAATTGGCATCTCACACCCGGTTCTACTGGGCAAGTGACTACGTTTTGGAGCACGCTGGAGCTAAGCATTTGTTTTGGAAGGCCGACGAGCGCAGCGAAGTTGGCATACAAACTATCCGAAGACGAGTAAAGGAATGAGATCTTCCCACCCACCACCCTATGGATATTTCTGTTCGCTTCCTGCACGACTAAAGAGAGTAGTTGCGTAGATCATTTCTTTAAATATGAATATTTTATTATATAAATAAAAGTCATCGCGCTTTCCACGCGGCCGTTAACATCTCATGACTGAGCGAGGATGAAGGATAGTTGCTTATAGTACAATACGCTTGAATTTGATAGAACGCTTTATTGCTACATGTATTCATGTATTAATCTTTCCATTGACCGCAGTAATATACGCCTATTAAATAAAGTGGGCTCGAACTCATTTCGCAGATTTGAGACAAATAATGGAGCTCGCCAAAAGGAACGTCGGCTTGGGGTTGAGCTCGCACGTACAGCCAAATGTTTCCTCGCCATTTTACTGAGGTTTGGATATACTGCCTGTCTCACCTTCCAATATTGTAGCATATCAAAATCGACCGTTGCTGGCGATATTTTTCCTGTAATATAATACGTAAATTCGTCTTCGTGAACGACGTCTTGTCGAAACAACTTCTGTGAGTCCGTAGGACTAGGCGTGACAGATGGCCGAAAATCCTGCCAAGCAAGACGCACTGTCTCTTTGCCAGCATCAATATCTTGCCGTTGGAGATCCGCATTTTCCCAGAATACAAACTTGGAACGAGGATCCAAAGCTACCGCTGTAGCCAGTATTGTGCCATTCCAGGTTTCGCTAAAGTACTCGTCCAATTTGGCAATAGCTTTAGTCACACCGATTGTTAAGCCTTCATTTCGAGGATTATTTTGATTTGCTGTGCGAATAAACTATTAGATGCTTTAAATCGCCAGAATCAACACTAACTGTGACCTTACTAACATAAATCATCTTGTATGGCGGAGAGACTATTTTTCAAGCTCACATATAATAGTGTTGCCATATTGATAGTTGCGTATTGATATCGCCAGTACAATTTTCTGAACTGATCAAATGGTGCGAGTATAAGCGAAGCTATCTTGAGAAACTCCCAATCTGTCTCAGAAAGCCTCATATGTTCAGGTCCATCTGCCATCATCTGATTTAAGGCTGGCGAACACTCTAGTGCCATTTGTATCATTGCACATGTGCTCTCCAATCGAGTGTTGACGTCCACGTCAAGGCCGATTTCAGATAGGCGCAATGATAGACAACAACGTCTGAAGCGCTCTATGTTTTGATGGCTAGATCTGATCCATACGAGACTTTGCCTGAGCTTGTCGACTGGTTTTCCTCTTGAACTGTCTATGCTCATATCTATCATATTTTCAGCGGGAGCAATGCCTGTCCCAGCTTTCAAAATTTTTTGAACTGCAAGATTCAATACATGTCCAATACAAAACATCCTATGAACACAAGCTTGAGCATGAGAATGGTCGGTTTGTCGAATAAGCTTCTCAACCTTCTCAACCATTCTGAGCATGTGACTAGCATTATCTGTCGTAATGGCAAAGACAGAGCCAAGTAAGTCCAAATTTTGAAGTGCATCGACAAAAATGGTCGCTAGATTGTCGCCTGTGATAAAGTTCTTTAATATGCAAAAGCATACATCACAAAGAAGCAATTGGGCCATGAAAGGTTACCTGTATGTGATCCATGTATTGGACTGAATGCTATCAGCACATTTTTCTCTTCCCAATCACAATCTATCCAATGAGCGGTTATTCCGAGGTAGGAAACTTCCCATGGGCTGGTCCAAACATCCGTAGTATAGCTTATCCAATCCTGTGCCTTAAGTATCCTTTTAACTTCTTCAACCTTCAGGTCAAAGCGGCGGAGGATACCGTCGTAAACAGCAGTGCAGGGGTGGTTTAACATTTCGATCTCGGGAAGAGTCCTATGTCGAGCGTAGTTTAGTAACCTTTTGAAACTTGGCTTTTGTGCGAAATTTAACGGAAGTTTGCATTCGATAATCATGTCAACAGTTAGCCTCTTCCACACTTCGGATGAAAAAAGACTGCTTTGTGTGCGTTGAAAATAAGAGTTCATGCGAGGATTTGCAAAATCCATATTCTCAGCGCGCGCCGGACTATTCTCAGTTATAGCATGTTGGCGAAGCAAATGTGAAATCATTGGGCTACTCACATAATTAGTGTAGCTGACGGTTTTCAGACAATGTAGGCACCGAAGGAGCAACTTGGAGGTCACGCCGTCTACTTCTGCATGATGATTTGCGATAACCCAGCTTTGATTCCTTCTTCGCTTGCGAGACTGACCAACGCTATCAACAGATGACTGATCGGAAGAGCAGTCGTTGGCATCGTCAAATACCATTGATGTACTCTATTCCAAGTTAATGTAATCAGAATATACGTTATAGTTGTCACATCATACCATAGTATTTAAGGCTGTGTATATAAAGCACAAACCTTCACGACGTCACAATATCTGACATTTGGTATTTGGTATTTGGTTTGGTTTGGATTGTCAATAACATATGTTTTATGAATCCCTAGTCATCGTTAAGTCCAATGTGAAAATATCCACTGCAGAGCCCAAAGTCGCGCGTAACCAAATGTAGTGGCCGTTCTAAAAGCTTATTACTGAACATGGTTCACAACGGAAATGAGATTAATTATTGCCAATGTTATTGCTCTGTATCGACTGAAACAACATACAAGGCCACTCTGATCCAAAAAAGATTGAGCAGCCACTGACAGTGGTATTGTCTGCAAAAGATGATTTTTATTAGGTTAATATAACGGTAGCTTTTAGATGAGCTTTCTGATAGCATTATCTTCAAAGTCTACAAGCTTCGAAACCGTCGAATGATTATCTTTCCGTTGAAAATCATATATAACCAAATGAAAAAACCATAAACCTAAATCGTTATGTCTGGCTGTTGTGCTCATCGGATACTTTGGAGAAGTCCATTGTATTTGTCTTTTACCAACATGAACGCTACTATACTTATTAACGTCTTGTGCTTGCGTACGTCTCTTTTGGGGGGCATACTTTTTTTTTTTAAGTTTGAGGCCGAGCATACTGGACAGCAAATATCCATTGACAAGTGTTGTACCCATGGTGAACACTACATATATAAATAGTGCTTTTTATTGCCATGCGAGAACGAATATTTGATCTCAAAAAGTCCCACTATATGTTAAATATAAAACGGTATATGCTTTTACAATAATATTGCAAAGGATCGGAAGAGAGTTAGAAGTCAATAACTACATCGCCATGAAAAAATTATCAGCCAATTTGAAAACGTGGGGTACAAGACACAAATTGTGTTTAGTCGTCCTCATTAGGCTTGCTAGGTTGGAGTGTAAAGTGAGGTACATCATGGGCATCAGGCTTGCTGGTGGTAATGGTGTCATAAGTATTAGGTGATCTCAAACCAGCGCTATATGGTGGAGTGTCTTCAGCTTGCTCAGAAGAAGCTGTATATCCTTGTGAGCCAATAAAGGAGTTGTGGTGCTGCTGTGAAGTGCTCTGAGCGTAGTATGAGTCTTTGGCGTCAGATCTACTGCCGTCGTTGAATATAATCTCTTCAGGCTGGTTAGAGTATTGATGTTGTGGAGGTAGTGGCTTTTCTTGCATAGGTGGCGGCTGTCCATAGTTTCCTGTGGCAGGTTCCATTTGCAGAGGGCTTTTCTTGTTCTTACGGCGGAAGTAGAATACTAAGAATGCACCAACACCGATCTACAAATACGAAGCAAGGTTTAGTGTCCAGGCATAGGCAGCTCTTGTTATAACCAAAACATATATTTACCACAACAACGACTGCACCGACAGCAATGCCAGCAATGGCACCAGTAGATAAGCTACCAGAGTTTTGAGAGCTCTTGGAACTTGAGTTGTTGTTCGAATCAGGGCTTGTGGTGTTAGTGGTGTTAGTGGTAGTGTTGGCACTCAAAAGTGGATAGCCTGAAGCACTGTATTCAGAAACCCATCTCCAGTTGACAGTATCCAACGCATGTATGTCTGACAAAGGTGCAAATGTAAAATCCCAGCCAAACATGACAAACATTGTCGTATTTATTTGCACAGCTAATGTATAAAGTCTTAGCAAAGCAATCAATGACATGAGACGCAATATAGAAGTTACTTACCATTGTGAGCAGCTCGAGGGTTGGGTCCATTGGAAATATTTAGGACGGTCCAGGCATTTGAGACGGTGTCAAAGATATGCAAGTCGCCATACACTGAATTAAGGTCGTCTGTAGAGAGTAATCAAAGTTCATTCAATATTTCATGGAGATAAAAAATGCATCAAATTACAAGCTACAAACCTGTTGCTCCTCCAAACACAATGATAGAGGTTCCATCAGCGGCTAGAAATAAATTCTGTGAATGAGTGACGAATAACCAAATATGAACATGTTACATTGATGGCAGACATACCGAGGGTAGCAGAATGTAGGGTTCGTGACGCTGGAATCGATCCAGTTGCCGTGACCAAGTTCCATAAACCGTTGCCAGTATCGTATTGGGGGACATCGCTTGAGGAGGCACCAGACAAGGTCCATTGCATATAACCTTGAGCATCCAAAGTGGACGACTTAGTGGCAACCAGACCACCAATGATGATGATTTTTCCAGATGGTGTGATGGTCATTGTATGGCCTACTCGAGCGTTTGGACCACTATTACCTGAGTCAGGACCACCCCATTCCCAAGTCTAAAGGACAAAATGAGAATATCAAGAAAGTTAGTATAGTTTGAGTACGTAGGTGTCGATATGTAAAGACATACCACAGGATTCAATGTAGTAAAAGCACCCCAGTAAGAAGTGTTCAGGTTACCAGTTTTGTAGTCACTGTAAAAAAAAAGACTGATATATGAATATTCACTTATCTACAAGCTGATGGACAGGCTTAATATTACCTAACACCACCCCAAAGCCAAACTTTTCCATTGGCATCAACAACGGCTGTATGCTGACGAGTTTGAGTGATTAGACTACTGTTGATAGCAGTCCAGGTATTTGTGGCGGTATTCAAAACGGTGGTTTGGTTGGTCTCAGTAGTGTTTGTTGGATTACTCAAGCCACCGTTGACGAGGAAAGATACACCGTCGTTCAGAGCGACGCCTACACCATAACCGGTCGCCGTTGTTACGAAATTGTTATCGGTGATATTAGTCCATGACGGTCCTGAGAGGGCAAAGTCGGTTGATGCGTCGATCGACCATGTATCGGACGTGATGTTCCCGTAAATATCGTAACCGCCGTAACAGAAAACTTTTCGTTGAACAGCAGCACAAACTGTAAATATGATGATCAATGACTGGTTAGATATGTTGCGCTTGTTATCACGAGAAGCACTTGTAAAAAAACGCATTCTTACCACCAGCGCTTCTACTTGTCACACTGGCAGCATTTGTCAATTGGAACAAAAATGAAAATGCGGTGACGGCCGGGAACCACAGCTTCATATTGCAAGCTATCTGCGAATGAGTAGAAAGAAAAGAGGAAAAAGTGTAACGGAGAAGAATTAAAGTAGAAATAAGAGTTCTGGGAATCAGTCTGGGCTGAAGTGCCAGTAGATGCCCTGTTTATCGAGGCGCAGTGAGGTTGTTTGCCGCATTTTGTCGGTTCCACCAGCATGGGACATTTCCCGAAAGGCTCACAAACAGTCTCATCAGCCACTTATGGCTACCAAAGGCCGTTCGTCAGCTTCAGGAAACGAAACAATCACTCAACATCTTCCATGGAGGTTTAAGAGTATCACTTCAGAGAGTCGCAAATAGAATGCTCGCCAGATAAACTTTATGATTTTCATCAGGTACTTGCTGAGCTTGATTAGAAACCTAATTTTGCCATCGTGTTCAATCAAGCTGGGTACACACACTTCTTTAGCATCAGTATCTTCGAAGGGTTGTTTCATCATTGCTTGATACCTGACATTCTAATACCCTATCGCTTGCACTGTCATTGCAAGTTGCTTTGGTTGACAGGCTTATATTGATGGGGTTAGAAGAGTATGACAACTACCATGCTTGTGCTACGTTCAGCTCAGCACACCTTTCAGAAATGGCCATAGCTTTTTCATTCTCACTCTTCATCATTGATATCAAATCCTTTAGTGTTACATTGAAACCAGATACTGAATGAAATATGCAGGATGCATAAACAGTGATAAAATATAAAGTCAGAATTGTAAATTGAAAAAAAATATTTGCGAACTTAAGTGTGTACAACGATCAAATCTGCTGCCATCTTTAGGAAGGTGGCTCATAGCAATACAGAATCATACACATCTGAACTCCGCAACTCTCGCCTTGGAATGAATGGAAATGTAAGAAGAGGAGGTGGTCGATCTAAAACGAAGGGTATACATAGCTTCTATCTTCTGCTCCGTAAGCCGGTGGTACTCTGCAAATCAGAGAGAGGCAAAGTTCGCGCACGGGATATGAGTCAATGCTACTGTTTTTCAAACTACTAAACGATTTGAAAACGGCAATCCATATTATCATGCCATCATATCCATTTCTTAGGTAGATCATGTCACTTCAGCAGCAATATATGCTTCCTGATACCTGAAAGGCTGCAAATGTACTGAGGACGTATCGTATCAAGCGTACCTACTGCATCTCAACAGAATAGTAGGCCATATTCGGTGAGAGTCATTTGCTGCCACGGATATATACATCTTCCATTTATATGAGCGATTATTGCATTGTCCAAAGATCAATGGCAAAGATAAGAAATTGTAGATTGCACGTTCAAGGTTAAAAGTGCAAAAATTTGTTTTGCATAAAATGTGACCTCATACGCTATTAAATACCATCTCCTCCTCAGCGATTCCTCATTTATTTTAAGAGACCTCAACCGATGTACTACTCTCTTTATTCAAACGATTCACAATTCCGCATCAAGGTCAACACTTCTCAGCTACAACAAAGTCAATTGACGTAGGTAAGGAACGCATTAACAAGCATGTTCTCGAAGGCTCTGTGCTTTCAACTGAACTATTACTTCCAGTAGGATAAGGTGCAGGCATCAGAAAATACGCTAAGCATGGTATGTAGTGGTGCAAAGATATATTTCATATATCTTCTTATAACAAGTTGAAAGAAGACAAAAGCTATTGTGTGATCGGTAAAAGCTTCTTTAATTCGAAATTGAGTGCAATCGATTCACACTAAGCTGCTCCGACATGTTGATTGACAAAGGCACGGCTGTTCATATTCATATTTTTTCTATGCCTGCAATAATCTTCACTATTTGCTGACCCTTTACAAAAGTAGCCGTCGGCCCTTAGCTCTGCTCTTCTCAGCATTAAAAATCATTTACTCTATCGTCTTTACGAAAGCTTGTAATGTTTGCTATGAAGTTCATTTAAAATCAGATTGTTATGGAAGCATTAGATAGTCGAGTTGCTGAACACTCTAATAGTAGTTATGCACATTTCATAGATTAAGCTAATGCAGTCAAGTCAGCCTCTGTCATGGGCCATATGAGCCAGTCACGAGCTTCAGGTACTTCTTTTGCAGCAATTCCAAGGGCGGTCGACAGATCTTGATCCGTGCCAAACTCTAATAATGCCTGTAAAAATACAGGTAAGGCGCCATCCATAGCCAACGGAAGAACCTGGACACCTGTAAGCTCTGGGTACGGCCACGAATTCGGGTTTGGAATAAACGAAGCCAGCCATGTAATAGCAGTTTTCAGCATGGGGCTACCAGTACCGGATGGGTCGGCATGCCATAAATCCAAACCAAGCAATTGACCATACCTGGCCACTCGAGCATATGCAGTGAGGTTGAATGCACTATAATGGAAGGAGCGCGTTCGATGAAGTTCCTTTGGCTGCCTGCCGTCCGATTCGATCTGTTCTGGTAAGCGGTTGGTCAAGGTGTCGCGTATTCTGTCCTTTGCTAAGTCGTCTTTACCAAGGAAGATGGCAATGCATGCCACTTGTGAATCGTAGAATGTGCCGTGGTTGTTCATTTGATTCCTTTCCTCCAAGCCATTCTTGCTAGTACATAGCCATTGTAAAAACTGTTCAAACCAATCCTCTAGTCCTCGTACCTGCTTCTCAGTTAGGACGGGGTCCAAAATTATGATGGAATCGATTATTGTTGTTATATTTCGAGTGTCAATCAAACCAATTCCTCGGCCAGTTGTAACGCCTGCAATACCTTGGCCGTACTCCAGATGTGGATGCATGAGAGTTTCTGCATCTAAGAACCACGCATTGAGCAGAGCGACGGCTTTATCAGCATACTTTCGATCATCACTGAAATAATATGCTAGGGACAATGACTCTAGTACAGAAGTAAACTCCTTGAAGCGTATGCTATCTGTACTGGAATCTCTTGATGCAGGATTGAATTCACCGTCTCGATTGATGTATGGCAAGCCGTCAAGTTTTGAAGCATCTGGCCACCAGTATGGGGCGATGCTCAAATAGTCGTGCTTGTCACCACTTGGTGGCAATGTAGTCTTATGAGTTACAGAAAATGGGCTGCAGTCCAGTGCTTGGTCAGCAGCTGCGATCAATGATTTGTAGGCCGGGGCAAGAAGTGGGTTTGTCAACCGAGCTTTAGCGGCTGTGAGATTAGATTCCGACCACGTAATAAGTGATTTTTTCATCGTTCGTGTTTAATGTGGCTATTTTGATGTTATTACCGTATAAATAGCTAATGTGTTCGATCCATGGGTAAAGTTTTCACCTAACGGAGGTCCTAAGAAAAGGAAAACCTACAAATAAGGAGATTTTTCAGAGCGCAAGCTTTGTAAACTCAATACTTGGAACATAAAAACCATATATTGGGTTAATAGAGGCTGGTGATAAATATAAGCACCTTTATCGAGTACATTCTCCACAATAGGGAAGCTACCAAATCCCCTGTAAACACTCCAGCTCCAGCCCTCTAAGGGTTTTCTTCCTAGTATGGTGCTGTACAACTGCAGTGACCAGAGGACGAATTATAGAGTTTGCAAAATGACGATCGGGGTAATTGACGGCGAAGTCGGTCGCCTGGGGTAAACATAAATGTGTGAGAAAAGTTGTTACTGCTTCTCGCTTTATCTTATACCCAATTTCTTTAAAACTATTGTCTTTGGGAAAATCTAGTCAAATTTTCATACACTGCGCATACAAGAAATCATGACACAATCAAACGAAACAGGCCGCACCTCCTCCAGCGGACAAGACCACGTGGACATTAAAGGGTTACTATCACCTAAGATTTATGACACTATCTGGAAGGTTGCAGCTCCAGCCTTGAACAAGGAAGATCCTCCAACCGAGTTTCCGCACTACACTACTCCAGGCACTGACAAGTACGAGTACGTGCCGGCATTCAAGTGGACTTCAGGTTTCTTTCCTGGTAGCATATGGGCTTTATATGAGAGACAGCTGAAGAAAAACGGTGACGCCGAATCAACTACTGTAAGCAGTGAGCAGTTACTGAAGGCTGGTCGTCACTGGGAATCTGGTCTTGTTGAGCAACAATTTAATACCAATACTCACGATATTGGATTCCTGATTATGCCTGCATTTCAACGTGATTACGAGCTCACTGGCAATGAAGCGGCCTTAGATATCATCATTCAGGCTGCAAAGTCATTGACAACTCGATATAGCTCTAAGACAAAAGCCATCCGATCCTGGAATGAGAAGGTCAGCAAATCATACTCATACACCGACATGAACAAGCACTTCCTTGTCATCATTGATAACATGATGAATTTGGAGCTTCTTTACTACGCTGCGGAGAAGAGTGGCAATAAAGAGTTCTATGACATTGCCACCACTCATGCAGAGACAACTCTAAAGAATCACTTCAGACCTGATAACTCGAGCTATCACCTTGTAGTGTATGATACACAAACTGGAGAAGTCACAGGTAAAATGACTCACCAAGGCTATGCCGATGACAGTACCTGGAGTCGTGGTCAAGCATGGGCGCTATACGGTTATGCTGTTACTTACAAGTACACTAAGGATCCCAAGTTCCTAGAGGCTTCCAAGAAGTTCACGGAAATGTTTCTCTCTAAACTTGCAGAGGATGGTACTGTATACTGGGACTTTGATGTAGAGCGACCGACATATTGGGATGTGTCTGCTGCTATGATTGCTTGCTCTGGTATGCTTTTACAACAGCAGTTAGACCCAACCTTGAACTATTTACCACACATCTCCAAAATTTTGTCTCGTGCAATTACTGCTTCCTCTGGAAATGGAGATACTATCCTGGAACATAGCACTGTCAACAATAATGCTGATGCCATGCCAGGTCTCAGAATTGCTGATACAGGTTTGGTTTATGCCGACTACTATTTTATTGAGACAGTTAATAGACTACTAGACATGGGACTTATCAATTAGGATGACAAGAGCTTTTAATAAATATATTCAAATTGTTTTAAAAAAAAACTGAAAAGAGGAGGAGACCTTTTGATACTTTGTATAAAAAAAGAGAGGAGGAAAAGGCATGCATTAATTGGAGTATTTTCTCGTAATGACTGCGGTACATGTTTATTGTAACATTGCATTATATTTGAGGTGAAGAAATAAACCGCTTTAAAATATGGACTACATTTCGTATGGGTAGATATGGATACAACAACTACATCATTTTTCTTCTCCAACTTCCAGTGGAGCATCAACAGCTTCCGCTTGACCAGGTTCGCTTTCAAAAATGTCGGCTTGATCTTTATCGAACTTAATGGCTACTTCTTCCAGAGAAAGGCCTTTGGTTTCCGGATAGAAGAAGTACACAAGAAAGAAATTACTGACCAGTACACAACACCAAACGATATAGTACTTCCACCCGAGTGCGACCATTCCGATTGGATTAGTAAAACCGTTGAACACATTAGCAGCAGCGTCAGCGAATCCATTTATGACGAAAGCCTTAGCGCGCAAATCATAAGGGCTAACTTCCGCAACGTAACTGGGGCATACCGGTCCAGCCATCTTGTAAAAGGCTCCAAATACGAAGATCATGGCAAGTGAAGCTTGTGAAGCTGATGTGTTGTGGAAACCTGTGCTCTGATTGATGCCCGTCACAACTGTAAGAATGAGGAAAGCACAGAACATGCCTGATAAGCCCATGAAGAACATAGGACGGCGGCCAACACGTTCAATCCACAAGGAAAAGAAATTTCCCCAAACCATGCCGTTGATATTGATGCCCACGTTGATGATAAGTTGACTTTTTTGATCTGTGATACCGATTGTTTTGAGAAGAATTCCGAGATAGTACGATATCAAAGCATTCCCACACCATTGGATCAAAAACCCTATGGTGAGCACAATGAAGAATCTATGTCGATTACCCGGTGTGCGGAACCATTCCATCCAAGAAGTAAGCGACTGAGACTTCTCCCGTGCGATTGCGGCATCAATTTCTTCCATCTCAAATTTAAGCAATTCCGAGTCTTCATCTCCTTCAGCATGATATTTAGCCAAAATTTGCCATGCTTCCTCTCTGCGATTGTTGTATACCAGCCATCGTGGCGATTCCGGTACGTAGAAACTCATGATCAATTGGAGAATAGAAGACATTGCCTGTAGCAAACTAGGTAGGCGCCAGCTCCAGGTAGATGCGCCTAGATAAGATGTACCAAATGTGATTGTCGCAGCCAACAGTGACCCCAATGATCCAGTACTGTTCATAATGCCCGTGATTTGCGTACGTTGGGTTGGATAAGCCAGCTCAGCCACAAGAATAGGACATGCCGTCGCTTGAATACCGTTACCAAAACCAATGAATACACGTCCAACAACAAACATTGCCGTATTCACCGCTGCGGTTTGCAAAATCACTCCAACCAGTAGAATGAGTGAGCCAATGGCGATAGGTTTTCGTCGTCCGAATCTTTGGATAAGTGTTGCAGAAACAAAGAGAGACCCTACTTGTCCAAATCGAGTTCCGTTGCTGATAACGCCAAGAATAGAACCAGTGGGTTTGTTAAAGTACTCTTGCCAACTTTCAATGATTTGTAGTCCGTTTAACATAGATCCATCATAGCCGTTAGTTACATCTGTTACTATAGCGCAGATCAGTAGCAGGTTGAGAGTGCGCAGAGCCGGATAATGCCACCACATTTTGGTCCTCTTCGGAACTACCTCCCTCAACATAGTAGCATCTACACTTGAACCATACAATTCCTTTGTGGGCTGTGTCTTCATTTTGATGGAGAAAGACTAGATCTGTTTGTGATATGAATGATTCTGCCAAAAATGCTTGAGTAAGGAAACAACTTGCAAAGTGGCAAACCAATTTATACCGTTTCGTTGAAGGCGTAGAAGAAAATGACCGTAGAGCTTGAGAGCTACACTGATGAAACGGTTTCCCCACGGGGAAGAACCTAAAATGAAGTTGTGTTGAAGTGTCCTTGTGAACTTTGTGCGATGTATCAAGCTTCAAACGTTTTTTTGCGGCCTAATTTAACCAAATGAAGGATATAGTACAAAATTGGACGTGGTCTTGTGATTTGCCAACGGGTCCTTAGGATCGCACCAATGATTTGTCAAAAAAATTAGGGGCTGCATCGTCAGGTACTATGCAAGAAAATATAACTTATGAAAAAAACGTACCAGAGATTCATAGTGGCCGTGGTTTTATGTTTCCTAAGCCTGCTCTGTGTTGGTATTATATTACAGAAACCAGGTAATTGTCTAAATTGGTAAATGTACTGAAAAGGGACTTGACGAAACTTTTACCCGAGCCATCGTCCCTCACAATTAGGATTTAGAATCTGATCCGTCTCTCGGTTGAACAGTCTTCTACAAATCTGAGTGCAAAATACTTATATTCATAAAGCTACAGCTGTATAGAAAACTCACACTTTGTCATAAGAAAATCCTACCAACTATGATTGATTCAAGTGTTATCCCACAGTCGCAATTTAACCCATCGGCTGGAAACAAGTTTCAGACAAGGGACGATGTCATACAAGCTGTCAACGAGATGTTCGAACCATTATTACCTACTTTCTCTGAAGGCAACGCTCGAGTGCAACTTGACGCGTCAGGGGCATCATTCGATCGAGCTTCTTCTGATTTAGAAGGGTTTGCCAGGCCACTGTTTGGTATTGCTCCCATGGTAGCAGGAGGGGCAAGTTTCGCCCATTGGGAGCGGTACCGGGAGGGGTTAAAGAATGGCACTGACCCCATGCATCCCGAATACTGGGGGGAGGTTTCTTCAATGGATCAGCGACAAGTTGAGATAGCCGCTCTTGGTTATGCGATGTTACTGGTACCGGAGCATATCTGGGATCCATTGGACGAAGAAACCAAAAACAATGTCGCCAAGTACTTAATCCAGGGTCGCAATACTAATTTCCATGGAAACAACCATAAATTCTTCCGCGTTATGGTCGATCTTGGCCTGGACAAAGTTGGAATCAAGGTAGATGAATCTATGACAGAGGAATACTTGCAGGATTTGGAAAGCCTGTACATAGGTGATGGATGGTACCGTGATGGCGACGATGAAGGTGACACCAGGCGTATCGATTACTACAATCCGTTTGCTATGCACTTTTACGGACTGATATACGCTGTGTACCGGCCACAGGACAAAGAGCGCTGCCAGAGATTTCGGGATCGAGCACGAAAGTTTGCACAACACTTCCAACACTGGTTTGCGGATACCGGCGAAAATGTGCCGTATGGGCGCAGCTTGATATATCGGCATGCAGTTGCCGGCTTCTGGGGAGCATTGGCCCTAGCTAACGAAGAGGCTTTGCCATGGGGAGTTCTGAAAGGACTGTACTTGAGAAACCTAAGATGGTGGTCCACGCAGCCAATTTCAGGGAACAAAGATGGTCTTCTTACCGTCGGATACGCTTATCCGAATCAATTTATGGCAGAACGATACAACTCCGCCGGATCGCCATGGTGGGCCATGAAAGCATTTACAGCACTTAAACTCCCTGCCGACCACCCTTTTTGGACAGCAAAAGAACTTCCAGTGGAGAGCCGACCAGATGTAGCTTCGTTTTCGATTCCTGGAATGGTTTTCTCACATCAGCCTGGGCATACAGTACTCCTGACAGCGGGACCAGAAACTGGACAGCAAATGCGATGCGTCCCAGAGAAATACAAGAAATTTGCTTACTCGTCTCGGTACGGCTTTAGTGTTGAAAGCGACAGCTTAGGATTTCAAACCGGTGCGTTTGATAACATGATTGCGTTCAGTGATGATGGAAAACATTATCGTGTGAGAGAACACTGCGTAGACGCGTATTTGATTGGAGATATCCTCTTTTCTTTATGGAATCCTTGGCCAGATGTAAAGGTTGAAACATGGCTGATCCCCAATGGCCCATGGCATACGCGTGTCCATCGTATTACATCATCAAGAACACTTGAAACTGTCGAAGGTGGATTTGCTGCACCACGTGTAGATTTTAAGGCAGATATCACTCATTCGGATGCGAGCTCAGCTTGGGTCGAATGCAAGCTCGGAGACTTCAGCGGCATTATGGATTCCTCTGTAACAAAGCGCGCAGCAAGAGTCATTGCGCCGCATGGAAATACCAGTGTAATGTTCCCCCGTACGTTTGTGCCGCAATTGATGGGAACTGTTGAAGCCGGCCAAACAATTGTTTATGTTTGCTCGGTGCTTGCTGGACCCGATGGTTCGAAGATCAAAGATATTTGGTCAACGCCCCCAGCTGTACCTTCTGTCGACTTGCTGCAAAAAATGTTGGAAGAAAAGGGTGTGCAAGTTGAAGTTGCAAAGCACTATAAACGTCAAAAGAGTGTGTCCAGAACTGAGTGAAGAGTTCTCACAGCCAATTTTTCGCCCAAAGTCCATCGAGCTACCACCTCCATGTATGACTACCATTTCATATTATTCTTTACTTGAGAGGAATTTAGGGTATAGTTATCCACATCAATGCCGTAAATAAAAACACCGTACTTAATGCTTGCAAGCTATGAACGAGAGTAAGACAACGGTGAATCATGGCTGGAGGTTTTCTTAGTCCTCTGACTTGACATACGATCATGCCATTTCATTACCTTGCACAAGATGGAACACATATAACAATTTGAAGGTAGATATCCTCAGGAGGTTGAGTCATCTTTCACAAGCTTTGACTCAAGTCGTTACCGAGAGAGACGCTAGCATTGCTCGACCCGGAGAAGTAAAGGAATTTCAAATCCGTACATCGGAGACAGAACAGAAGTGGCAACAACACCGACTTTCAAATGAACCTTGATTGAGAATTCAGTAGAGAGCTAGCTGTTCCCTTGAATTGTGTTATGGACACCTGAGTGAAAATTATCATCCATTGGCATCGTCACATACCATGTGTATCGTTTTTAGTGACACTTGCACCCTGTTTATTCAATGTGCTATAATCCCTGTCGAAACACAGAGTCTCTAAGTACCGATAGCACGCCGTAAGTCTCAATCACTGTCAAATTCAGTGTGGCGTTTGGACACTTGCTAATGCATGACGGTTTGCATACAATGCGTAATAATAGAAAGAGTTTGCCAATTTCTTACATTATTTTAATCATTTGCAGTTTTATCATAGCTTTTAGGAGTACTGTTGATGAATAATTTTGATTGGAAATGGGATGCAGAGTGCGATGTAAAAGTGGAGTGTCTGATAGCATAGTCTGTCTGATAACAACATACTGTGATTTCGAAATCATTTTGCGGTCAGATTGGAATTTTTTTTTTGATGTACTGTTAAAAAATGAGAAGTGACCTACCGACTAGCGTAAAAATATCTGAATCTCTCATAGGAGAGAAACTGCGTTCGTAGCAGCCATGATGTTGAGTTGTTAGATGAGGTCGCAGGGCGTTGAAAACGTGCTGGGTGGCCGTCACCTGTCCATACCGATCGAGCGATCCAGCACAGGTTTTTACTGGCATTCGTATCCCTTTGCCACACTGTGCTACAGTTTTTACAGATTAAGACATTGTAGTGAGATATGTTGTCAGCTGTTCTGATCTTCTCCAACTCACGAAGATGACAATGGTGACATATCTAGAGGATGAAGACGTTAGAAAACATAAGGTCTCGCAAAGTGATCGTAAAGATACAATGTACTTACCTGGGACGAGAGATACTCATCGACTGTAACAGTGACAAGATCGCCAGCACGCTCTTTCCTTTTCAGCTCTCTCCATATCACCCTTACGATGGAGCCTTTTTTTTTTACCGCGTATTTTTGCGTAAAGGTGAGAGGGAAGCAATGGGTTCATCAACCACAGGTTCGGTAGCTACACGTGCAGCTTCTCTAGCTTCTCTAGCCTGGCGTTGTTTTGCGAGACTACGGAGTTTTCGTTGTGTAGAGACTGGTCCGACTGCAACAGGAACATGTCTGGGAGCAGGCATGAGCTGTTCATCGTCGGATATGCGACTGTTGTCGTTTCCGACAAGGTAGACAGTGGGTGCGATCTGAGATGCAGGAAAGGGATATTTGTTGCATTCTTTCTGTTTTTGGGGAGGACTTGACGTCCTCCATTGTTTCGATCGGATGGAGGGGCATTAGACCCATCCGAGTCGGTGAAGCTCATGTGTGAGGTCCTGCTGGCCGTCTTGATCACTACATCTTTTTGCAGTCTGTTCGTAAGATCACAGTTGTTTACGGTTGAATTATATCAGAGCGCATTCCAAAATATTCCAGCATTTTAATCACAGCATCTTCTTGCATTTTGATTGTAAGGTCAGAGGTGTTGATGGTTGAATTATGTCTGAGCGCCGTCCAAAATATCCCCATCACCTTAATCACTACATCTTTTTGTAGCCTGTTCGTAAGATCGAGTTGTTGATGGTTAAGTTATTTCTGAGCGCAGTCCAAAATATCCCACCACTTTTATCACTGCATCTTTTTGCATTCTGTTTGTAGAATCAGAGTTGTCGTTGACCACTCAGTCGTTCTCCCTCAATGAATTCTGAGACTGATATAGATAGTCCTTCAAATGCCTCTCGTAGCTTCTGCCTGGTGTCAGCATGCACAGACGATTGATGTCTACCGATATAGTCTATCAGAAATTGTGAATGTGCTTCTTGTCAGCTTGCCCGTATATTCTGGATATTGCCATTTTATTGCCAAAGGTCAGATGTTGGTCTTCGTCGTCATTATACTTTAGTGTTGAGCAGTTCTTACGGTTAATAACAATGATCAAGGCAACCTTTTTGCAGTCTTACCTTGTTTTCTATAATATATGTTGATCTGCTGTGAGTGTAAAGAAAATTCGGTGTACAAAGTCGATATTTCATTTACCAATGTTAGCTGACTGATGGAATTTCAAATTTATGTTTTGGTGTTTACGTTTTGCATTCTGAACACAATGAGCCAACTTTGAAAGTGTTTTCTTCCTACTGTCTGTAGATTTGTATTTCTGAACGATGATTCGTCGAAACCATTGACAGTGTGAGGTATGTTTCTCAAATTTGCTAGGCGTTAACACTCTTCATAGCGGGCATGGTTCTCAGGATGGGTGCTTTCATTTTTTCATAAACGAGCATCTTTAGCCGGTATTTTGAATTCATTTGTTGTATGCGAGCATAAAGTACAGTATCTCTTTGCAGTCGACATCAAGCAGCTCACTATAGTCCAATTGCCTTTGAAGACGATGCCTTTTATGGAAATCAACGTATTTATGTCATAAAAACAAATGGTATGTATCTTCCTGTACCTTTTACACTAAATGCTCAAATGGGCTATCGTTGGTAGCAGACGTATACTGGAGAGCGTGTAGATGTTGCAGGGCGAGTTTGAGTCTATATAACTTAGGCATTCACCGGAGAAAATGAACATTAATGCTCGCCACTAAGGTCGATGTTATCACCCATAACCGAAAGTCAGCTTACTTGGTTCTGGCGTTCAAATGAGCTACCATTGGGAAGGACAAATGGATTGGTTGAGTTGATGCCGCATAGGAGTTGTCGAGTTTAAATCGTTTATATCTGGCAATGTCGATTATGAAGTAATGGGAAAATATGGAAAAAGAAAGTAAAATGGTGTAGAAATGGACTGGAGGCGGAAATGAACGGAATGGAGTTGGGGAAGGGTGGAATGTAGAACGACATTCATGTCATTCTCGATGAACTGGAGGTTATGATTAATTTTTGAAACCCCGCTGGCGGCAAGATTCTGCTTGCCCTGATAGCTTTAAGGAAACTTTCATTGCGTGATGGAACGAGCGTTAGCGAGGGACATAGCGCGGGAGGGACATTAAAATTGATATGTAAAGAGATTGCCTAGTTAATCATTGAGTTGAATCAACGACGTCGCTGCCTGTAGTACTCAGTTTTTATAAGTGCTCATGGTTATAGCTTACACTGTTAACTACAGTCAGTTCTTGTCAGCGCTAGGTGCTTATGCTTACAGCTTATTTTGTTAAATGCAGTCTTTTCTTTTACAACTTCTAAGTGCTTATGCTTGTAACTCGCACTTGTCAACTGCAGTCTCTCTTTTTACAAGCGCTTAGTGTTTAAGCTTATAACTTCCACCGTTAATTACAATGAATTTTTTATAAGAGCTAAGTGCTGGTTCTTATGGTTTATACCGTTGACTACGGTCAGTTCTTGTAAGCGCTAAGTGCTTATGCTTATAGCTTGCACTGTTAACTATAGTCTCTCTTTTTATGAACGCTGAACGCTGAATGCTTATGATAATAGTTTACACTATTAACTGCAGCCTTTTTATTTTTACGAGTGCTAAGTGCTTATACTTATAGCTTACACTGTTGACTACAAACAATTTTTTACAAGCGCTATGTGCTGATGCATATGATTTACACCGTTCACTACAGTCAGTTCTTGCAAGCGCTAATTGCTTATGCTTATATCTAACACTGTTAACTACAGTCTCATTTTTAATGAGAGTTAAGTGCTTATACTAATAGCACACCTGCTAATGAAATTAATTCTTCTATAAACGGAGGTAGTTATGATACGATTGATTAAGTTACTTCCTTAAAAAAATGCGATCAGGCTGTTTCTTTCTTACTATGAATATGTCTCTTCATTACCAACCTCAAACACATAGGAATTGGATGAGTTAGACAGTATTACACAAACAGACGCCGGTTGAACAAGAAAAAGACCCGTTAGCATAATAAAGAGAGGTGGAAATGATTTATTGGCAGGGGCCTTTAGAACAACAAAGACGCGCGAACTGTAATAAAGCGAAGTGGGAAAAATAACAATATGCTTTTAATGGAGACGAATGTTAATACCGAAGTGATTTTCCCATAGAACGCCTTTGAATAGATGGCTTGCATGCCTGAACTCTCTAATAATGGAACGGAGAAGTTGTCCGAGTAAACTGAAAGCCTCTAACTCCTATGATAAGGTACACCGAGTAAACTTTAAGGAATCTTTTATTGCGAAAGGGTTACGAGCGTCAGCGAGTAACGCGTCGCAATAACATATACTAAAGTATTCTGCGCGCGAGCGAAG